CTCTTTTTTATATATATAAATATAGGTTATATGTGTTTGCGCACGTGATATCAGAAAGCAACGTAATACACGCATGACAACAGGAGGGTGACGGGGGGCACAAATCGAGTTACTCCTCCCACTTCTGCTGGTTTTACTGAGATATCTTATCCCATGCGAATTGGCCATTATTATTGCAGACGTCCTGTCGTAAAATTACATTACTCCATCTACCCTTGTTAATCCTGTCCGAATAGGGCTTAAGTGACATTTGTAGAAACCAGACCATTAATTAATTAAAACATGACAAACACTTCACATTTTTGAATTCTTTACACTTTTCCAATCATTTTTCCTTAAAATAAATCTCTTTAATAGAAAAAATAATTTATTTTCGTTTCTGCATGTGCTAACAGATGATATTGTTTCAAGTCATTAATCAGGTTTGTGTTGCCTGACTTTGATGCGTACCTTCAGCACAGTCTATAATTACACTGAGCCTTCCTTTAAGTCAAGTCAAGTCAAGTCACATTTATTTATATAGCGCTTTTCACAATACAGATTGCATCAAAGCAGCTTCACAGTGATAACATGAAAGTAGTACAACACAGTTCAATAATATTGTTGAATATTAAATATCCCCAACTAAGCAAGCCAAAAGCAAGGCGACAGTGGCAAGGAACCAAAACTCCATCAGATTGGATGGAGAAAAAAACCTTGGGAGAACCCAGGCTAGTCAGGGGCCAGTTCTCCTCTGGCTAACAATCATAGGGTTTTAAAGAAGCTTTACAGTAAGTGCATATCAGAGAGTACCTGGAAAAAATACATTTAGTTAATCATGTAATATTTAGGGGATAACATATCGCCGGCGTTGAGTCGTCTCTTCGCAGGCGTTGAGTCGTCTCTTCACAGGCGTTGGTCTTCTCATCACAGGCGTTGAGGCATCCGAAATCCCTGTGAGAGGCAGGATACCAAACTGGAGCCTACGAACGCCATTTTTCTCGGGACAAGCGTCCCGAGATAACAGCAGAAAGGCAGATGGGAAATAATTAGCATAGCTGATGTTCATAATGATTTCCATTACACGGGAGTAGGTGTTAGAAAACCATAATCTCACAACTCTCCGCAACCCAAACTCTCCGCAACCCAACCGCAACCATACGGACCGACCCGTTTGTCTATAAGGCTGTCGAGCCCCACTGGTGCGTTAAGCAGTTTCAGTGGCAAACGGTTCCGTATGGCATAGCAGAGGACTAAAAGGTAAGCATTATGTGAATGCTTGACTAAAGAGACACGTCTTTAGTCTAGTTTTAAACTGTGTCAGCGAGTCAGAGCATCGGACCGTATCGGGAAGGCTATTCCAGAGTTTTGGAGCTAAATGCGAGAATGCCCTCCCTCCTTTCGTGGACTTCGATATCCTAGGAATGACCAGAAGCCTTGAATTTAGTGATCTTAGAGAACGCGGTGGATTGTAGGGCGAAAGAAGGTCCGTTAAGTACATAGGAGCTAAACCATTAAGGGCTTTATAGGTCAGTAGTAGTACATTGTAATTGATACGGAACTTAATAGGTAACCAGTGCAGAGATGATAAAATCGGTGTTATATGATCATATTTTCTTGATCTAGTAAGAACTCTAGCGGCTGCATTTTGCACTAACTGTAGCTTGTTTATTGAGGATGCAGGACAACCAGCTAATAAAGCATTACAGTAATCTAGTCTCGAGGTCATGAATGCATGAACTAACTTTTCTGCATCAGAAACAGATAGCATGTTACGTAATTTAGCAATGTTTCTAAGGTGGAAAAAGGCTGTTCTTGTAACAGATGAAATATGATTTTCGAAAGACAAGTTGCGGTCTAGTATAACACCCAGGTCTTTTACTGTAGTGGAAAAAGTAACAGGGCATCCTTCTATATTAAAGTCGTATTGTAAGAGGTTTTGTGTATAGTTTTTTGGACCAATAAGTAATACCTCCGTTTTATCTGAATTTAATAGCAGGAAATTACGCGTCATCCAGCATTTTATATCTTTGAGACATTCTGTCAATTTAGATGAGGTAATGTTTTCATCTGGTCGTGATGAAATATATAATTGAGTGTCGTCAGCATAACAGTGGAAATTAATTCCATGTTTTCTTATAATATTACCAAGTGGCAGCATATATATTGAGAATATACCCCTTAACCCACCCTTAAACCTACCCATATGTGAGTACATGGTAGTTAAAGACACCTAAAATGGTGGTTGAGGAGATTCCCCCTCTATGTAAAGCGCTTTGAGTGCCTAGAAAAGCGCTATATAAATGTAATGAATTATTATTATTATTATTAAAATAAAGTGTGACCGATTTTTCTTTATTTGATATGATAGTGGCATCTAAAATTATTTTTAAATTATCATGAAAGTATCTAATTAAACCTAACATTTTAGAACAATGATTAAAAAAAGAATAATAGACAGTCTTAGCTTAAATGTATTATTTAGCTTAAATAATGTTTTTTATTTCATATAGGGACATTCATTGCAGTTGCACCACCAGACTTCCTAATTTGACATTGAACAGTATTATCTTTTGCCTATGGTAGCAATTTCATACATAGAATAAAGAAGTTTATCATAAAATAGCATTTCGTAGTTTTACATTGGTTGTACCGTCTGACATGGAAAGTGTACCAACCTACCCACACTTGAAAGTATCTATTTTTAGAGATCTACAAACCTTTTCTCTCTGCCACAAGGATCAATTTGGGTTTGCTAGATGCTGCATTATCATTCTTACTGTTATTACCTTGTCAATTCAAATGACCCATGTTTGCAGTTGTGCCACCCTGATATTTGCGAATATACAAATTTCTGGACAAAAGTTTTTCAGTTATCTCAACAGCTTTAAAACTACTGGTATTTATAAAATTTGTTTATATGAAAGGTTTTAAACCTAAAATTATGCCACAGTATTTTATTTTTAATTTCTTCTTATTAAAATACCATTTAAAATAGTTTTCTTAGTCTGTTCATTTGTTCGGACAGTTGAGTCCGAATGCATTTTAGGGGTGTAAGATATCGAAACATAAAATATTTATTATTTGAATGTACTGAAAATGAATTCAAACGAAATAGGTTTTATAGAATAAAGTGATAGTAATGAATTGCTCAAATTTACAACATAATTATTAGGAAGAATTACTGATTTTTTTTTTTTAAATGTACATCTTGGACGCTGGATAAGTGATATGGATTAATTTTCATTCTCCAATAGCTTACCCTACACACAATGGCGCAGGGAAGTTTGATTTCGAACGTTTAATTGAATTGATTTATTTTAACAAAAAATGAACCTGGAAAAATAAGGTGAAAGGTTACATTTTTGCTATTCATCAAACCTTATCCAACAGGCCAAACAGATTTATACCTTTGTGTTTTTTGGTTTACTCTGTTTATTTTTATACACTTGCGATGTAGGCCTATGATGTGCAACCGGATGATTACAAATAATATCTTCTAAAGAGCTCTGGCTTTCAGCTCTTATGACCTATTCACAATAGGTTTGATATAATAATTATTGTTACAAGTAAGTTCATTAATGTTTCCTTTTTATTATAATATTTTTGTAACCTGATTTATTTTACTTGAAATTTTGCACTGGTAGTAGGATTATCCCTTGTGCCGAGTATAACCAGTAAGTGATAAAGGCTGTTTTAAATATCTGGCTCCATAGCAATAGTCCTAGCATTATAAACATAATTTTTTACTGCTGCTTCTTTCTTGTAATAGCATTATTGATTCTATACTCCAGCTCCAGATGCGATGTGGTGACTAAAGCCATTTTTGTCATATTAAAGGGTTAGTTCACCCTAAAAAATCACTATTCTGTCAGTAATTACTCACCCTCATGTTGTTCCAACCCCGTAAGACTTTCGTTCATCTTCGGAACACAAATTAAGATATTTTTGATGAAATCTGAGAGCTGTCTCACTAACCCTTTAAGAGAGATCTGTCACTATTTGCCACATTTGTGATTTTGACTGTTTGGAATAAAAAACTAACAAAGACATAAGATAAAACTTTCAGTGGTAGAGTCTTTACACACACACACAATGCAGACTGAAGCTAACGTATTTTGTGTGTTTGAACGAGAAGTGCCTTGTCGGGCCATGTTTAAAATTTGAACACATTGTTTTCTATGAGTGTACGGACGCACACTGGTGGCTCCACTTGGCTTCTGTCCGCGGCGCCCAGCTACAATTCAGGAGGCTGTTTAAAATCCAGAGTGCCATTAACATTGTTTTTTTTTTTTTATTACATTATTTATGTCCCAAAACGTCATTCATGTACATACTGGGTTTACCCTGTGCTGCAAGATGCATTTAGTTTTACATTAATAATTTTGCCGCTTGAATAGTCTAAACATACAGGAAGAAATATATAATAAATGTAGCTCTTTCTAATCTTTCTGTGCCATATTTTTCCGTACACTAACCTCAGTGCGAAAGCATTAACTTTGCCTTTCGTAATTACATTCACTGTCGTGTGCTGCCACCTACCGGAGGAACCAGGTACATACAAAACATATTACGTACAGTACATACATAATCTTAACCATTAACCATAATCTTAACTCACAACAGAATGTGAGTGTCTGGTGTGCGATACTAGACGCGACTCTGCGCTTCTCGTCTGGTGTGCGACCACCTTTAGATGCTGACATGGCATAAAACGGGTTCCCGATCCTGTTCCTGGAGATCTATCTTCCTGCAAAGTTCAGCTCCAACCCTGATCAAACACAGCTGAACCAGCTAATTAAGATCTTCTGGAGCACTTGATAATTCCAGTCAGGTGTGTTGAATCTGAACTCTAGGTAGGTAGATCTCCAGGAACAGGATTGGGCATCCCTGGCATAAAGCAAACAAATAAATAAAAATGAAATAAAATGTTACCTTAATGTAAATGATACTATTGGGGTTGTCATTCTGTCATTCTGGCATGCTTTGTCTTAAATCTCATCTTCATGTCCCCTTCACAGTGCCCTTAAAGACAGTCGCTTTCCCCCCATGACGAGGGACGAGCTGCAGCGCCTCTTCTGCTCAGTGTCTCTGCTCACCAACTTTGAGGATGTTGGGGATTATTTAGACTGGGAGGTAAGAGCACAGAAGCAATTACTACCAGTTATTAATGCATGCGTGCTGTGATCATTTATCCACCAAATTAACTAAACAAACACAAACTTTGTTCACTTAAGGTTTTTTGCTGCACACATTTTAAATATAAATTAAATTTCAGGCCTAATACCAGTGACTGATAATTCTCAGCTAGTTCTGGCTAATACCAATAACCGACAATTATACTTTACTTTGACAGTGAAACTTAACCCTTTTAAAATGAAGCTACTATTTAATAACGTAAAAACTTCTCAGTTTAACCAGTGTGATTGTATTACAAATGGTTTAAAGGGTAATAAATTATATTAAAATAAATTGTCTATATACTGTATATGGTTATAGAGTGGTGCAGGGATGACATCAGAGCCCGCAAGACTAATTCGCCAGTGGTTCCATCGAGATTTTCCTATGGGTTTTTACTTTTTATAATGTTTTTATTTTTTAGATTTATCAGTAAAATCAAGCCTGTGGTATTCATAACTTGACAATACTTTGACATTCTACTAGGGCTGGGCAATATGGCCAAAAATCTCGGTATTTTTTGGTTAAATGGTGATATAGCTACAATATATATCTCGGTACTTTCAAAGTTTTTTCTATTTGGATAAAGAAAATCTGTATTTATTTAAAAAAAAAAAAAAAAAATTCACATCCTACCCAATGATATCCTACAAACAATGTTGATATTGAAGGATATGGAAACAAATATAGTGAATGTAATGTAGGCTATGCAATATATTATGTGCAAAAAGGTGGTTAAAATCACATTACATTGTAACATTACAATCTAAAAACAAAAAATAATGCTTTTGTTTTTAAATTGACTAAAGGCTAAACTAAAAATGAAAATAAAAACAAAAGCACAAACTAATTATATTAGCCTGCATTTGATTACCCCATTATAATGGTCACTTTCATAAAAATATACTTGTAGGTTTAAAATTCCACACAACAAATATTTGAGCAATATGTATATTTTGGTCAGAATTATTGTGCTACCTACTATTGTACTCCGTCTGTTTGGCGCGCTCATTCACGGAAGCTTGTATGTTAGCGGAGATTCATTTTGCAGAAGCTCGTCCTCTCCTGACATTAAAATGGACATATTTGTTTGACTTTCTAACATTTACAGATGGAGAATATACCTGTGAAATGTAAGTTAAGTACTGAGGAAAGCACCCCATCTCAAACGCATTAAACAGCGCAAGTATTTATCTGTCAGTCAGCATCTGACAGGGCAAGCTGCTTTAAACTTAACTATATCTTACCAGTTATTTTGAAGCCCTTAATATAACATGTTTAGGACAAATTGTACTATGTACTTTTACTGGAGGAGCTCACACTGCGTCCTCCGCTATTTTTCAGATGTGCTCGAATCAAACTACTGTATCGATATAAAGGGTATTGCCTCATTCCACATCGTTTCAAAAAAATCGTTTCTACAGCTAAAACTGTACACACATCTAATACTGTCCTATCTAGTTACTTATTATAAACGTATGTTTGCAAAAATAAATATAACTGCTTCAAAATAATTTTTTGAGATTATTTTAATGGATATGTGCAGTTTATGTTGTAGAACAAAACATAACAGTATCGTCAAGTTATGTTTACCACTAGTTTTATTTTACTCATAAATTGGAAAAACTCCATAGGAAATTTTGAAGGAAACACTGGCGAATTAGTCTTCTGGGTTCTGACATCACCTCTACACTGACTACTCTATTGTATTGTGTTCTTTTATTTGAGTATTTACTTTACTTATTCAATGAACACTGAAACTCGAGTCGCCATTGGCTAGTAATTTTTATTTTATTTTACTCGCTAGACTTTTTACATGAATGCAAGAACAATGCAAATGAAAAAATTAGCTTCATCTATCGTTGTTTTGCTGTTTTATGAGGAACTATGAAAACGTTCATCTGGTGCAAAAGCCACTAATTTTGAGCCCTGCATTTCGATATAGCTCATCAATTCTATTTACGTGGAATGTGTGAAGCCTGGTTTATACTCGCCGCGTCTGTATGAGCGCGAAGGAATATACGATTATATTGTCATATAAGTCAACCCTACATTTAATGTGTATCAATTTAATGACATGGCACAGAGGCAGATTTTTACAGCAGTGCTCCTCATTCATACTACTACTACTACTACTAATAATAATAATAATACTAATAATAGTAATAAAATAGATTATCCGCACAGGGAATACAAACGGTGAACTTGATGGAAAGCTGCAAAAATTAAATATAATTATCCCCAGACTTTATGCAAACCCTGAAAACAGCCCCACGTGTGGAAAAAACATACTTTTGTGGAAACAATGACATCGGGTCTTATTCACTAAGCATGTGTACACACAAATTTGTGCGTGAAATCTGTGTACAAACGTTTTCACGAATAAATCGCTCGACGCCACGACGCAACAAAAGGTATTTTTTCCATGTTCATTTAGTGCCCCCAGCTTTGTTGCCGTACTAAAAGCAACAATGGATGATTGACCTCAGATCTTGAAATTAAACAAATGGAAACAAGAATCTTCAAACTGAACAAACAAGTGTATTCTATGACAAAGATTCTTTTAGTAACTCAGTATTTTAGTAACTATGTATTTTTAATACTGTTTAAATGGGGTAATATTTGTGAATTGGAATATGTACTTATCCATTTCCTTGAGTGCCATCAAGATTAATCTCTGGTGCCGTGCACTTGCCGCAAGAGCCCGCCCACACGCTGTTCTGATTGGCTGTGGGTTTTTATTGATTTTGTCGCGTCTGTCTCGTCGCATCTGGTGTGGACAGACAAATTGTTTGTCGCTGGAATCTTATCGCGTCTGGTTAGGACATGGTGTTAGTCTTTTATTTTAGTGTTGACTTAAAGAACCGTTTGATATCCTTAGTAAAGACTGGTATAAAGTCCACCTTTGATTAGTCTTTTCAAGCTAGTATTCCACTGAGAGTGCACTGCAGCTCAGTGTGGAGCTCACAACACCTTCAGAGATGAGACACTTTCAAGATATGCTTACATACACACAAAAAGCCATCGGCCCTCAGCCTCCAGTTTTGACAAATGGTCCAGCCGCTGCAGCTTGTTGAAGTGCAGCTTGCAAATTGCATGATCCGAGAGCGAATCTGGGCTGTGCAGAATTGGCACAGAATTCACTTTAGAATGAACCAGTATGCCACCGACTTAGCCTGGCATGCTGTGGAATCTTAATGATTCGGGCCATGCAAACAATGCGTGACCCTAGATGAAAAGTCCTGGGTAAGACCTGACGACATTGTAGTGTATTGTGCATGTGTCTTTTCTGTAATGTTAGCAGTGTTGGGGGATATATAAAAATAATAATAAAAAAACCAGCCACATTGTGAGTTTTATGGAAAAAACTGTTAATTTTTGTTTTTCCTCACTGTAATAATCTGACCAAGACTCCTCTAAACTTGGCTTGCAGGTGTTTAACAGCTGCATCCAGACAATAGACAATCCCACCTTAGTGATAAATACTGAGATCGAAATCAGTATGAGAAAAAAACTTTATAATTATGTTTATAATTGTCACTCAGACGTTTAGAAAACATATCTTGTCCGAATAGTAACAACTTCAATCCTGTATAAAATATTAAAGTAAAATAAACCTATAATCACCACTTTTAATAATAATGGGTTTGTTTTCTGTTTCTCCGCTCACACTGCCTTTCTTTAAAAAAACTAAAATAGCATGACAGTTTGATTGAATGTGTGTCATGCCGGTACCAGTCACTATCCTCTTGCCACATCATTTTCGCATTCTTTTCCCTTCTGTTCACACAAAATTCTTTTGTTCAGATCCTGGAAATTAAAACCGAAGTCTTTGTGTTATGTAGTTCTGCTGTCATTCCATATGCATTTGTACCTTTTGTCAACAGTATCCCAGTTCGGAGCTAGACTGTGTTTACACATCACACACCCAGAGGCAAAATATTCCACTAGAAGTAAAGTGTAGCAGCTGCTTTAGAAATCTCTCATCAGTGGTGTTTGGTAATGCAAGAATCACTATTGCTCATACCTAGGGTTAGGGATTTGAATGAACACTTGCTGGGTTTTTTTCCTAAGTGATGAAACGGACCAAAAGTCCCATAGATGTACATTGGCTGCATTTACATGCAAAATAATATCCTGTAATTATTATGAAATGTTCACATTGCGAATATGTAAGCGTCATGTACAGTGGTTAAAGTGGGATTTGGCAGGTGGGGGAACCGTGGGACAACATATTGAGTATCGTGGTATAGCAATACTTTTTGGTATAATTATCATCCACAGCCCCACCCACAGAAATGTGCATTAAAATGTGAGGTATTTAGGGGGGTTCGGTGGCATGCTCCCCCGAGAAAATTTTGATTTCTCTGACCTACAAATGTGCAATTTAAGACTTTTGAAGGCCCAAAAAATGGATAATAAATAGCTTTAAAACCATCATTGGGCATTAGATTATTTTGTCAATACCTTCTCTCTCCTCATCTACATCTTTCTTTTTCTCTCAGTCTCCTTATCCTGGCCTATTTCTTCCCCTCCTAAAGCTGAACTTTGATTAATCTTTTCATTTTCATCTGTGTCAGTGAAGAAAGTAAACATAGGCTTAACTGATATTTATATTTTATGAATCATTTTCTTAAACAAGTTAATTTACTCGGCTACCAGGTCAGTATTGCCAATAGGAACCTTCTACAAGCTTTGGAATTTGAAAAGTAATTTTAAATAATACAAATTATAGGCTACGTGTAACGCAGTTGGTAGAATTGGCAGACGTTCCCTCATCATGCGCTGTGCAAACGCGTCAAAGCATTCTCAGGTATAAAAATGCAGCATTAATGCACGTATGTGATTTTGAACGAATATTTCATGTCGATATACAATGGTTACTTAATGTTAAAACTAATCCTGCTATTTATATCTTTGTAAGACCCTATAGAACAGTGGCTAGGGACAACAAATGTCAGGCGAAATATCGAACCTAAAACTAACTTTACCTAGCATTTCACGCATTTGTAATCGCTCGCGTTCAGCGGGGAGGAAGGGAGGTTGGTCGGTCGGTCGGCCGGCCCAGCTCGGGACCAGCGAAATTCGTTGTGATTAATGAATCTATTTTTTTATTTATTTATCTGAGATGCCGGATCGCAGTTCCGGCCCACTTTAACCCCTGGTCATGTACAATAATTGCCTGATTGGCATGATCAATTTAATACAATATTCCAGTTGCTATATATATGAATAAGACAGCAGGTATATATTTTTATTATACAAATTTTAGGTCATGTAAATGTCTTATTTTGCATATCCAATATTACTGAACATTCATTTGTTTCACATGTCCACATAAAAATGGTTTGGGGTTAGACAAAGACGGTTTTAAAGTCCAGCCATTGAAGAAACAGATTTTTTTAAGTGAGGATGATCTACATTTGTATGTGTCTCATGACCTTCAGTGTGCTGTTCATCATGCTCCTGTGTTTTTGTCAAATGCTAAGCGTAATAAATGTCAAGATTAAGAATCTTCAGTATATCTAGTAAAAATTACATTAATATGTAGTGCAAGTCTTAGTTTCTTTAGATCTAAATGCAAACAGAATTTGGGCATTAACCAGTCATTTTTGTGCATGCAAATTAGAGCTGCAAAGTAATAAACAAATAAAATAAACTCTGATGTCAGTCATCAAAAATGACCTCCACCGCTCCTCTGTTTTCTTCGTCTGAGCGGATGAGTAGAAAAGCTAAAGTCCAATTTGACCATTTATTTGATGAGCGAGAGGCTTAATGGCCCATTCACACCGAAACGTAAGATGGTACATGAATGAAAAAGAAGGCATCCTGTGTGAACAGGGCCTTACTGTAAACGGCATCAACTGAATAAGTATATGTCGTGTTAAATCATAATCACAATTATTTTGGTCAATATTGTAATCATGATTTATTGAAATGGTTGTAAGTGGATGATATGACCAAAACCTTATGTGTTATTTATTTTTAGATAGCTATAAATATAGATTATAAATATACATATATAGATTTAGATACCATAGCCGAACACTAGGCTAACTAATGTAAGAAAAGTCCTCAGACAGTAATACAATAAAAACAAAAATAGGACAAATACAATAGAAAAATACATAAACAGTGTTTGAGTTTACTAGTCAAGTCACCTTTATTTATATAGCGCTTTTTACAATACTGATAATTTCAAAGCAGCTTTACAGTGATAACAGGAAAATAATGCAACAAAGTTTGTTTTTGCTGTACAGCAGATCTAGAAGAAAATAGCGTCATAGTCCAGCTTAAGTAAGTTCAGTGATAGTTAATTTCTGTTGTAAAAAAGTTATTAATATAGTTACTTTATCTATACAGCTGCTCTGGAGAAAACAGTGATGTCATTGTCCAGCTCAGTTCAGTTTTCATATAATGGTGTCAATGCAGGCAGATCAATAATATTGTTGAATATTAAGTGTCCCCAACTAAGCCAGCCAAAAGCCAAAGGTGACAGTGGCAAGGAACCAAAACTCCATCAGGTGACAGAATGGAGAAAAAAAAAACCTTGGGAGAAACCAGGCTCAGTCGGGGAGCCAGTACTACAGAAATTCAATAATCAAATATAGAATAAAACACAGCATAGTCTTCATTGTATGAATTAAACTTGCTTCGATTCTTATTAAAGCTTCAACAGTTATTATTTGTTTTCGTTTGTTGTTTGATTAACATTAATGGTCACGAAACACTAAACTACATTTTCTGAGAGTCATGCGTGTTGCACACCATAGAAGACAATGTTACCATCCTTTTAATTGTAGGAGAAAACTAGTTCATTTTAAGCTTTCTTTTGCTATTTTCATCATCTGGGTTTAAAATTGTCTTTGTGTCAACTTCAACATTTTCTTACATCATTGATGACTCATCGTTGTCCTATAATTATTTCTGAAACTGCGTATCCTTATTGATTAAATTGATCCCCTCTCCAAAAGCTAACTTACAATTTTTATGTCATTGTCAGAACCAAAGTGGCAGTATTTAACAGTTACATGGAGATCAAACCAAAAAGAGATTTTTCAAAATGTCTTTATTTCTCAGGTGGGTGTTCACGGCATTAGGATAGAATTTTTTAATGAAAAAGGATCAAAGCGCACCGCCACCTACCTGCCAGAGGTTGCGAAGGAGCAAGGTGAGAAAAAAGTACACTTGCCTGAGTTTTATCTGCATTCAGTTACAATATAACAGCAGACACAAGATGAAGAATAGGCCAAAAGGTAACACTCAAGCAGTATGAAAAAAACAGGATTGAATTTGTTCTCTCTCCATAGGATGGGACCACATTCAGACCATAGATTCCTTACTTCGAAAGGGAGGTTACAAAGCTCCCATCACAAATGACTTCAGGAAGACTATTAAATTGACCAGGTGAGAGAATTACCTTTTCTAAACAATTTTTGATCACTATCCAATACTATAAGGCAATATTAGTGAATCTTTTAGTTCTTGTGTCCAACGGTACTAGAGTCTCTTAAGGACATTTTTCACAGGATCTCATAGGCAGCAGATTTAGAAGGTTTTTATTTTTCAATTGTATTTTCTTGTTTAGTAATTCTGAACGGATCTTTTTCTTTTAAACCATCTTTTGGCATCTCCATGTGGTCCTGTTTGGTATCGCACCTTGACTAGTTAATTATATATAAGCTCTAAACAATTGTAACATTTATTTTTTGCTGTTGCACTGTATACGTGCATTATGAAGTATGAAGATTAGTTTGAATTGATTGAAAAGATTGAATTTAGGCTTTTATTCACTTATTAACATTCATCAACTCACACATCAGTTGTGGTAAACAGAAGCTCAAGCATGTTCTCTTATACGAGAACCAATGATGTTCATTATCATGTTACGCAGCACGTTTGAGCTTCCGAAAGAGGTTTGTTTTTTTCGCGTCAAGCAGCTTTTGTTGAGCTTCTGTTTATGTTAGCTGATCAATGTTTATATGTGAATAAAAGCCTAAATTCAATCTGTTCATCATATAAAAGCAATGTGGATTTAGTTTTACTTAATGAACTTTTAGTGTCAAAGTGTCAGTTGCGTAGCTGTCTATGGAGGGATAGAAAGCTCTCAGATTTCATAAGATCTTCATTTGTGTTCCGAAGATGAACGACTTGAGGGTGAGTAATTAATGAAAGAATTTAGATTTTTTGCCTGAACTATCTCTTTAAAGTATATCATACAAAAAAAATGGTAGTCACTTTTCATTCAATTTGAGGTTCTCTTAAATTGTCAAGTGTCTGGTTTCAAATGAGACCAGGATTATGCCTGTAGACTGAAGGGCTCATGAAATGCAGCCATTTCATTTTGGGTATGTCATTTTCAGCTTGTGTCCTTGCTGGTTAAGGGGTTAAAGAAGCGCGTCTCCTTGAAGACTTAAATGTGAATGCCCGCTGCTATAATTGGGCTATGATAATAATGTCTTTGCTTATAAATATTGCCTAACTCTTTTGGAAAACTTTTATTATGGTTTTACTATTACAACTGCCACTAAACATGAAAAATGTTGGCTATAGCAGTATGTTTAGATCTAATCCTATTGCACTGCTGAGCATTGTAGCCAACTTGACTTCTGCACTCTCACAAATACTTTCATAATAACTAACAAAGTGTAAACACTATTTAAATAAGATATTCATTGTGCAGTGTGGACAGTGTCGATTATAACAGGAGTTTCGGTGATGGTGCGGAATCATTCACTGATAAACTTGACAGCTCCTGTAAATTCAAATGGAGTCCCCTTTCGAAAGGGAACTCTCATTGCGTTGATGACGCTATGGGGAATGCCCTCCACGTGAACTGGTGTCTGAAAAGCTATCCAATCACAGCAATTGAAATTGACCGGCGAGCCTATGACGTCACTACTAGTGCGACCCGGAAGTATAAAACGGGCGCCTAGAGAACATGTCATCCTCTTTTCGTCTTCAGGGACTGTTTTGTCTGATTTGCTATCACCCGAAAAAGGTAAGAAACAATTATGGCAAGTGATAAGCGTTTCAAGAAGTGTGTGGATCCGTGTCTCAGGTATCTGACACCAGATGAGACGCACAACTTGTGTGTTTACTGTTGGGCGAAGAGCACGCACGATCAGCTCTTGAGAGACCTGATTGTGCAGAATGTGAGATTTCTGCTAAGAAAACTCCGCTCTCGTCTAGCCCTCTTCTCGAGTGAAGAGGGACAGGCCTCTTGGCCCAGTGGTTCGGGTCCCGCTCGTGCTGAGGCACAGTGGAGACTCGGATCATGGGGTTCCCAGATGGAGCTCGCTAATGAGTTTGAGAGAGAGAAGCACCTCTCAAACTCATCGGCGAGCTCCGTCTGGTGACCGTCAGAAGCTCGCGAGGGTGAGTTGCTGGAAGAGGATGTGTTCTCTCTTACATCCTCTGATCCAGCAGCAAGTGCCTTGCTGGCACCTAGCCGAAGAGAGCAGGAGATGGCTGATTGAGGGTGAAGAAGAGCTACTACCTGAACCCTCACAGCCTCCCTGCTCCGCGTATGATGAGCTGTTGGGTGTTATGGAGTGCGCTTCTGCGAGGCTTCATCTGCGGTGGGAGCGCGTGAAGGAACGAGCAGTTTGCAGCAGGCTGGATGAACGGTTCCTTTCTGGCCATTATTCCCCAGCTCCCGTGAGCCTTCCATTCCTTCCTGATCTGTATACCGAGATCAAGAAGGCATGGAAGAACCCATATTTTGCACGCATCCATCACCAACAGCGAGCAAACTATGCTGATGTTGAGGGGATGTGTGAACATGGGTATGTGTCGATGCCCCCCTTTCCTCTGAGGGTGAATAACTACCACCCTCTTCTCTCCTCTTCCTCTCCCCCAATTTTCTTTACCCCGGGCGCTTCTTACATCACGTCTGAGGCCTGGACCGATTATGACATTTTCCCATTAAAACGGAATCCTTCTGAAGATCTGGAGTCGGGCTTGGTAGTGAGCGTGCCCTTACTAGCTTTTGGGTGGTAGGCCTTCATTCTGAGAATAAAGTTTAAGCCGCCGCTCTATTAGCAGGATGATCTTGGTAGGTCTTTATTATAAGGTTGTTAAACTTTAGACCTCTGTTCCCTGTTTAGAAAGTATTAAGGAGTATGTTTGATAGGAAGTAAAATAGGAATTTGGGCCCTGAAGTTCCCTTTTTTATAGGTAGGCTTACATACCTTGTCATAGGCCTCCTCTTGTGTTAGTCGTCAGGTTTATGTAGTAGGTGGTGCCAATCTTGGTCACCCAGTGGTGTACAGGTTGGCTTCATCTCATAGAGAAATCTCTAGTAAGGCCACCAAGAACGGGAGCTTCAAACAGATTCTGTTCGGCGTGAGATGGCTTCCTCCCACGGGTTTGAGTACACACTCCCTTAGAGCCTAAGCATGCCATGGGCTGACGCTTTTGATAATTTAAGTTGTAGGCCTTTCTATAGGCCTCCTCGATAGTCAGGTAGCGTAAGATTGTACTCCCTTTTTTAAAGGGTCGATAGCGCTCTGGCTGAGTGTACTTTCTATTGGCAATGTAAAAATAGGAAAACCAGGCACACAGTATTTCTGTGAGAACACCTATGATATCTGAGGCTAGTTCTGCTAACAAGTATCACTATCAAGTAGCAGGCCTTCACAGGCCTCCTTGAAGGTGGCTCCACCATCAGGTGGATTTTAGCAATAACTAAGATCATCACGTTGTAGGCTCACTTTTCCTTGTTAGGAGGCCTCTTTGAAGCTTATAGCGGGACCATGGGGAATAACGTCACTGACAGCCTGTATGTGACCCGAAGGGGGAGTGTTTTTTTTGGCATTTCAGGGTGAAACTGCCAGTTCTGACGTTTCTGTCACGAGCTATAATTGGCATTCACTCCCCTCAGCATGGTGGGATTGTACATCGTTCCCCATAGCGTCATCGATGCAGTACGAGTTCCTTTTCCAAAGGGAACGTCTAGGTTACGACTGTAACCTCTGTTCCCTGAGAACAGGGAACGAGACACTGCGTCACTAGCCATGCCTCGGGGATGCCTGCTGAACAGTTTCTGGATGGCGTTCTCTAGGTGACATCATAGGCTGTCGCCGCTCAATTTCGATTGTCGTGATTGGATAGCTTTTCAGACAACGGTTCACGTGGAATACGTTCCCCATAACGTCATCGACGCAATATCTCGTTCCCTGTTCTCAGGGAAAGAGGTTACAGTCGTAACCTAGACGCTTTATTTGCTTGCTTTCTGCTACAATTTAATCACAGTTTAAATAACAGGTAATTTTCGTGCTACTGTGGGGAACAAAGTAAAGTTGTCGGTTTGATTTACCGAAGCATTAAAGCAAATTCAAGTGTTATGGATGTGACAGCAGTCAACTTGAAATTTTAATTCTCATAGAATATTCTTTACCAATATATTGAACCATCTGTTTATATATTCCTAAACAACAACTCTGATGTAGAACATCAGAAAAATATCAGTCTATAAACATGTTTTATATTTTAGATGAGGGAAATACACATACAGACATGACAAAAAAGACTCAAGTTTTTGGGAGACAACATATTTTGTAGATTGTCTGTCAATTAAAATACACAAACCAAAAGCAACAGTATCCACCAGTATCCAAGGTTTGGCTCTCGACAGAAAATAAAAGATATATTTTATTTAAATTTTCGGTTTCACAATTTGGAGGAAAAAACAGTTACAATGGTTAACCCTCTGGGGTCCAAGGTGTTTTTGGGGTCCTTGAGATGTTTTGACATACTCTGACATTTGTGCTTTTTTCAGTTGCTTATAAAAAAATTACTGGCAAAGGTGTAATTACACTCTATTTAGCACAAACAGGGCTACCATAATATGTTATCAACATGTATGTACATGTTTGTATTTTTGAGAGAATATTGTTTATGTGTGGTTATTGAAAAAACTAAAACTTAAAGTTTCTGAAATAAGGCCACAAAAGACATACTAAATATGTGTCCACAAGACTTTTGACTAATGGATGTTGTCGCCTAGAGTTTTTTCTTCAAAATGATCTGAAAATCATCCTGCCTTATCATTCACATAAAACAATAGATTGGTTTAAATTTAAAAATGACACTTTTTGTTTGGAAAGGCAATATGCGCAGGGGTGTGACCTGCTGTGATTCACACCTGAGAAGACAATGGGCCCGCATAATGATCGCATAATGGGGCTGCATACTAATGACCCTTTCATTCAGGTGTGTCACTGAGCCACAAGAATGCAATGACAATATATATATATATATATATATATATATATATATATATATATATATATATATATATATATATATATATATAGGCCTATATAATACAAAATTGGTTCACAGTTCCAATTATTTATTTATTTTTCAAATTGTGCTTGCAAATTGTATAATATCAAATGTAAACATTTCTAGTAATTGTGCAGTTAATTCTCATACTGTTTTTACAGAAAGTTTGGGAATATATCCCAAATGTGTCACTAATAAAACACAATACCAATAATTTAAAGAGGAGGCTTATATTGAGCTTTTAAGATTTACCTAAGATTTATTTATATGTAGCCTACATATATTTTTGCTATTTTAATAAAAAGGTTACAATTACAACAACAATTAAAATGAACTATATTTAAAATGTAATCTTTCTTTGTATATATTAAAGTATACATTTTATCATACATATTTCACAGTTGCGGATTAATTAGTTTGAATATAGCCTACAATCGAACAAACACTATAATAACTTCTTAGCAAACAAACTTATTTGATGTGGCAGTATTTTACAGTAAAAACGACATCTTGTCTTTCATATGTAACATATCGTTTTTATGATTAGGACATATAAATGTTAATTTGCAGTTTAATACGTTGCTTATACAAAAATATTTTATTTCAACATATTTCAGTCAATTTTTACTCATCTCAGTATTGGGATATAGTTAGGTAAAAGCTGTTCATTCATTCACACACAAAAATGCGATTCATATTTAAACAGTCTTTTTGTTTACAGACACTATTTTATATCGCGATTAGAACAAAGCACTTGAAAATAAAGAATATACCTATTCCTCAGCTGGATCCGTTGCTCCTCCAAATGAAACTACCTGCACTTCTGAGGTAATTTTTTCCAGGATTATTATTAAGATAGTATTATTCCTCACAGCGTCGTAAATATGAGTCTCTTCTGGTGGGTTATCCAGCTGATGTGGGCGTGGATCGCCTCAGAGCATTTGTGTTTGAATAGAGCGCGCGCTCCGTGGCCGTGGTCAAATTAACTTTAATGACCTGAGAGAGACGAGAACGACTATCATCTCTCTCTTTTCGTACAGATTACCTAAAATGAGAAAATTTGTTTTTTATATAAATTACTTCATTTAAAAGAAGATAATTCAGGCTTCATGCCTGTGTGCCTGTATACCTGTTTGACTGAGTATTTGCAGAGTTACAGTTAATTTTTCGGACGCATTTCAGAATGGACTTCCCTGACAGAGAGAACGCAGAACGCGCATCATGTTTATTTTTCTTTATTAGGCGAAAAGCACAACACTTTGTTTTTATTATGAGGTTCCACAAAAAAAATACAAACTTAACAGGATCGAATGATGTACAACACTTATATGTAAGATCAAAATCAACAGAGTAATTTGAGTCTCTTTTGCACTGATAAGGAAAAAAGTGAGCTGGTATCGCCGCCGAGACTGCCGACCCCAGAGGGTTAAATAAAAATATGCTGGATAAATAATATTGTTCAAATATAAGGAAGCCAAACTGTTTTTTTATGTTTTCAAATAGCCATTCAAATAATTAGAATATTATTTGAGTAGAAGATTTGAATTTTGTTTTTCAGCCGTTTTGACAGCACTAGTATCTAAAGGGTGACGATATACTTGGCGTACAAGATGATACACGATATGGTTTACGGCAGGGGTGGGGAACGTTGATCCTGGAGGGCCACTGTCCTGCAGAGTTTAGCTCCAACCCTAATCAAACACACCTGAAACTAATCAAGGTCTTCAGGATTACTAAAGTTACAGGCAGCTGAATGTTTTTTTCAGGGTTGGAGCTAAACTCTGCAGGACAGTGGCCCTCCAGGATCAACGTTCCCCACCCCTGGTTTACGGGAACGAGACAATATTTTACGACTTTTTAAAATAAATCTTCAATGACGATATATATGACTGGAAAAATTGTTATTTCACAAAAAGGTGTAATCAGTCAATTATTTTGACGATTCATCAAGTAATCGGATATTCTTTGTGGATATAAAAGTAGACCTAAGTGAACAATAGCCTTTAAAATCACTTAAAGTACATGTATAATAACAATGAGGCAATAATAATTGGTTTAAATAAAGGATCAAAAGCAAGTAATCATTTGGTTTTATTGAACAACACAGTTAAAATACATAATGTAATCATATTCAACTTATGCAACTCGTATTCAACATATACAATTATGTATTATAACAAAAGCCTGCAGAGAGCGCCAATGGCCTGATTGTTGTTGTTACTTTACAGAATGAGCAAATCCTTGTTTAATATTGGCCAAACAACATTTAATTTAAATGTCCACTTATATTTGGAAAATGCTACAGCCACTGTAATTTCTTGAACAAGAACATGTGGACATCAAAACATGCAAACTCAGAGCCAGGGTTTAAACTTTTATTTTGAAATCGTGATGAACAGTTCACATATTTAGAAACATATTGATGTATTCTCCTGTGTTGGTGTAGGTTTATTGAAAAAAGCTGGGACTGTTTCATATCACAAAGTAACCGGCTCTGTCCTGTCTGTTGGCGCATTGTCCATGTCCTCTTTGCTTTGCGATTGTTTTTGTGGCGTAAGAGCGTGAGAAGTATAAACTGCATGAGTCTCGCACTGAATGCATGAGAGTTGGCAGCCCTGCAAGCACTGTAAAGGGTTTTGCCACAAACTCAACTCTGTCATCTTGATATCGCGAGACAGATATTCACCTCCACAAGAAATATCATCACATTTTAATATCTTAGAACGTGATCTCCTCAAGCACCACAAGTGTGCATCATCCACTTAGATGATGCGACGGCAGCCACAGTACGCTCATTTTGACAATACGCTCACCACACATAGGTACACCTACTGTGTATAGGTGAAGAGGAGAGAGAGTGATGGAGCCAATTGAGTAGATGGGGATTATTTAGAAGCCATGATTGAGCCAGGACCAATGGAGTGAATCTGGCCTGGACACCGGGGTTGAATTCCTACTCCTTTATGAGAAGTGCCATGGGAATTTTAATGACCACTGAGAGTCAGGACCTCAGTTTAATGTCTTATCCTTATCCTTTCTTGAGGCTATGGCAGCCCACAGAACCATTTGCAGGAAAATTATAAAATTTGGCGGACAAATGGAGACAGTCTCAACATTAATGTGGCTATTTGCCACATAAGCAAATAATTGAACTCAAATTAATTTGATATTTTATTACCTCAAGATGACTCGCAGTACTGTGAGTACTTGAGCTGTGTATGTGTGTATATGTAACTACAGTAGTAAACATTTGAAGTGGATCACAAAAGTTCATCAAAGTTGTCCTAAGACAAGAATGGGTACTGTTCAAAATTCATTTATAACTTTGATGAAAGGTTTTGATCCACTTCAAATGTCGACTACTGTAGTTCACACTCTCATTCTTTCTCGCAATCTTATTTGTTAATTCATTCAAATAAATGTAATACATTTCTCCTTTTGTGTTCCACAGAGGAAAGTTTAATGTTTGAAACATGAAGGTGATTGATTACGTCATTTTTACAGTCTTCTACAGGCCTGTGTTGTGAACAGTATTTTGACAGTCTTCCATGGTTCTGATGCTTACCCCTTCTTCACCATTGTTTTAGGTACCGTAGTGAAAAGATGACAATGAGCTACGCAGAATACATCGCCCACCGCCAGCATCATCACTACCAGAATGGCATCGGGCACCCTCTCCCTCCATACAACCATTATTCCTGACAGCGAGCCGCATGACCAGTCACTGGACCTCTCTGCGGACATCTTCCCCGGAGAGCCCGCCTCCTCGTGGTCTAGCTATCTGTACTACTGTACCATTTTATGATGATAGTTTCCGTTGCCATGTCCACAGTCATATGGAGGCATGGCAGCGGGTGCAAAATAAGCATTAGGTGATTATAAAGCGAAATTCATTTTGTCATTTTTATTATTTGTATTAATTTAGTTTTTGCAGCATATACATATAAATATATATCGACCCCTTACTCTTTTTTTTTTTTTTACAAATAAAAAAGTACTACGTTTTTTTGTTGTTTCAACAAATTTCCTAATCAGGTTTCTTAGTCTGTGGATGGAAATAAGTCATATTAAATGATGGGCTAGTTTTGAAGATAGTATAATTTTGCTCAGATTTTATCTAGCTTTAATGACTTGCTTTATTTGGCGCAATCCCCCCCTCTTCATTATTAGTTTGACTTTTTATCAAGCAGGCAACCACAGGGTTTAAGGGATGTTATTTCCTCTGTGTTATTCCTCTGATAACTTTCCTTTATGAGGGGTGATTTTCTGTTTTCCTTTTTTTGTCAATTTTGTTGTGGGTTGTAGGGTTATGCAGTGTGGCTGATTTAGGCAATGAAGAACTAGTTAAGACTTGTTAGTTTTTTCCCTGTTGACTCAAACTCATCAGATAATTGAAACCACTATATTAAATTTGCTGTTGGGGATACCAGAATATTTACCTTGATGCAAAGGCCTGTTGCTCTTAGCATTATTGTTGTTGTTGATTTGAATTGTATTTACTTTGATGAACAGTCAGTTAGCCCTTTTTTGTGTAGATTTGCTACTCTTAGGGGAAAAAGGCATATTAATCTGTTAGTAATCCATCTTTTATTTAATTTCTCGTTGACGTGTTGTATTAGTGTTTGTAAGTGGTGTTCGTGAGATCGCAAGTATAAGGCTGTATTCAGAATAAGGGAGTAAATTAATGAGTCAGAGACTAAAGTTAGTTAAGGTTAACTGGGCTCACAACTGACCTCATGGCCAAAACGCTGTCTGAATTTGTTTTTGCTCCTATTTTGTCACACAGAGAGGAAAACCTGAGAGACCAAGGTCAAATGACAGGGACAAGCTAAAAAAAAAAGCCATACTTTTTTCTTTTTTTAATGCAGGCTGTGGCAGGGTGGTTGCTCTAAATGGCTATTTTAAATTCATTTTTTCCTGGCATGGAAAATGCTTCAGAAAGCTCTTTTTTGCTTTGTTTTTAATGATCTGGTCTTATGGATAAATATGATCATTTCTCTCTCGCATAGCAACAATGTTTACATCTCCATACAAAAGCCACTATATTTACAGTTGCTGTAATTGAGAAGATCATTGAGTAGATACAGTTGCTATTGTGGCTTTTTAATCCCCTCGATCTCTTGAACTGAAGTTTGCTTGAATAATGTTGTCGAATCTGCCACTTCACACCAGGAAATTAACTAATATACGATGGTTATAACTGTCTCCATAGTTTTCTCACTGACAATTTGTGTCACTGACAATGTTAGGTCCGTTCTGAAAAGACCATGTCTAAGTGTTTCTTTTTTTAAATCGAGTGTCATCTTATCTGTAGATCGCAGTGAATTAGCTTTTCGAGGTTTCAGTTTTTAGATTGACTCTGAAAGGAAAAATGGGTGAGGTTCTTTTGGAAATCACAAAACTATTTCCTGTCATTTGTTTTCATATGCAAAATGTTAAGGGCTTTTGGGGTTCCATCCACAGTCATTATTCAGTCCACTATAACCTAAAAAACAAAACAACCTGATTTCAGTTGTGTTGCCTTAAAAATGGTTAAGACATGGACCAGCAAATGTTGCCCAGATTGCTCAACTAGCGCAAGACGGGTTATTTTGGCCACAGCATCACAACGGGAAGGTTTTGACCAGCGATGACTTTGCTCAAAAACTTCACACATAATTGCTGATGTCTGTTTGCCAAACCGTCAAGTGTTTATTACTTTTTTCATTGAGGCCCCTCCACTGCCCAGTTGTGACCTTTTAAAAAATATATATAATAATAATTTGCTTATCTAAATCCTACCTACCAATAAGACACATTTGTGGTGTCTCACTGTCTCAGTCTTTAAAAACCCTTTAAATATCTCCACTTTACTGCCTCAGTGTTAAACCCAGTTATTGTTTTATAGTTGGACAATCCGTGCCTCATTTTCGGTCCATTAAAACAGCACGAACTGAAGTTTTTTTTTTTTTTTTTTTTTTGCTGCTGCTGCAAAACCAAGTCTTTGCATTTGAGAAAATTTGATGTATACAAATTTGCAATACATTTGTTGCATGAATTGGAGGCCTCCTGTTAAACATGGCATGCTTGTTTCACTGCTATATAGATATGAGAAAACAGACTATATAAAATGGTGCTATTGGACCTCATGTTGGGGGTGGTCGCAGCAAATGTGACTGGTCATGCGGACTCATTGATCATATCAGACTTTTTATTATCCTCAAAATATGCAGATCTGTTTTACAGGTGTTTTTTTCCTACCAGTGTAACAAAATCTCCTGCAGGTTTGAAAGGACAAGTAGTGACGAGTCTAACCCCATCTTTCCCTCATGGCCTGGGGGATTCGGGCATATGCTTATATCATCTGTAATAGATGTGCACATTTACGCAATACACAATTACCCTGGAAATTCACTCTGTATCCGTTGATGTTCGCGTTCATTTACATTGCCATTTTGAACTACGGCTGGATTAACTGGCTGAACGCTGTTGCCGAAATATGGCCAAAGCGATTAATGATGGTCAATGTGCTGAGTTTACTTTGCTAACATTGTTTGTTCAAATATCATTGGTTCATTTTGTTGCGGTGATGAAAGACATTTGTTTGTTTCTTTCATAGAACTATATGTATATGTCTATACATTAAGCTCTACTTGCAGTCGTTTCACAATTTTTCAAAACCTTGCTTAAAACTTAAGTATTTTGTGATTTCTAGTGTAGTTTGAACATGCACTTTGGGGACATTAACTTTAGCAATCTCTGGCACATTTGAACATTGTAGAGACTATCAGCACCTGTCCTACATTGCTCAAAGACGAGTTCAAAATGTGTTCGTCGTGGCCCCTTTAAAAAAAAAAAAAAAAAAACATTTTCTCATTACACTTTCCTTCATTTTCTGTAACTTTTAACACAACTGGGACTAGTGTTTGGCAAGTAATGCTCATTTTAGGCATAAATGTTGGGTTGTAACACCTTCATACGAGCTTCACGTTTACTGTTAAAACCATAGTCATTTGGAAGTTAGGCTCATGTTACCTTTGTGTGTTCAACCGAACCAAAGATGCCTCCAGCCATGTCCAAATGCTGCTCTACAGACCTGCCTTCCTGTCCTTCCAAAAACCTTCCCTGCAAGAGAAATGTCTTTTTGTTTTTGTGTATTTACTCTTTTTCTTTTGTACAATTTCTAATATTGTTTTAGGTTTTTAGCTACCTAAGTTCAATGAATTTTCATTGTAGCTGTTTTTGAAACCTTGCACGGTGTCTACGACCGTAATACTAGGTTGCACTTTTTTATTTTGTTTTCATCATTGTTATTATTATCTATTTTTGTAAAGAAAGAAAACCCCATAGCGTGCCTCTTAGATTTATGGGTTTCTTAATGTGTTTTTTTTTTTTCCCCTAAGACCAGCAGTTATACTTTATACAAAAGATGAGCTAATCCTTATTTTTAAATGCCATTTAAAAGGAGAAAAAAAAGAAGCCTTTTTTCTTTACTCTGGACCCAGTAGCTGCACTGGCATACAATCGCACTGGTAGATATAGAGGGGAGGGGGGAACTATAAATAATAATAATGATGATGATGATAAAAATAAATGTAAGAACTACAATAAACTTGTTTGAAAACTTTTTTGTAAAAAAAAAAAAAGTTCAAAAAGAAAACATAATGACTGTTTTTGTACATCAAGTTAATTCTTTTCAAAAAAAAATATTTTGGACCTAGTTTCTAATTATTATTTTAGTGGTTTTCTATGTTCTGGAACTTTGAGAAGAGTTTTGAACGTGCCCTTCGATGATTGACATCTTGCAGTGTTGTCATTGAGGCACTGGGGTTGCCTGGCGTAGCCCTCGATGCCCACCACTGGTTTATTTCTGTTTTGAGTTTGGATTCTCTCTTGCTTTACGAACTTGAAATTTTTGAAGTAAAGACTTGGTGAAAAAAAAAATAGAAACAAAAACATTTTTATCCTGTAGAACTAGATCCTTTACCCCATTGAATTGCTGTTAGAGTGATGAGACTTGAAATGGGCATTTATTATGAATATGGTAGTATGGCTCCAAAAAAAAGACAAAAATGACAAAATCAACAAAAAAAAAAAGTGTTGGGGGGAGGGTGGCAAATAGATGGGTTAGATGTGGGTATGTGAGCTATGGCTGTGGCAATGATAATGTAGTTTTAAAGCATTATTGTTATTACCTTTTAAATCATTTATCCAATAAAAAAAATCTGAAAGAACATGCATTGGGTGTCTTTATGCTTCACAGAAGAACTTGATTTTTGATGAACAGACATGAAACCAAGACAATCCTCATGGATGCTACACGTTGGAGAAGACCTTTAATATAGACCATATTTCATAAAAACATATGTACAAAACTGAGATCAGAACTAAGGTTTCCCTTTCAGTCAAGTTGCATACATTGAAATGAGAGTGATCCCATAATTCACTAGACCCACTGGATTTCTTACATTAGCTCAACAGCCACAAACTGCTTTGATTTTATGTTTGGATCTTTGACATGGAAATTGATGGAATACACTTCAAGTACTGAGCAGTTTTTGGGGCCAAAAGAACCTCCTAATGGAACTAGTTTTTCCTTCTCATTTGGCTACACATTGGACTTTTTTGTACATCGTTTTCATGTATAAGGTTAACACTCAGTCATTCATGTACAATATAAGGTAAACACTTTAATGCAAGTCTGAAACAGCCATGCTCAAGTTCGAATGATCTAGTTAGTTTGTAAAATAAATGTCCACTGAACTGAATCAAATTCTGTATAGATAACTGCGTTTAGCTAAATATTGAGACTGTAAAAAATAAGTTTGTAAAAAAAAAAAAGGGAAAATGAGTGAATTGTTTTAACTGGCCCAGTAAAAAACAACAAAGAACTATTGGTTAAAAATAAAAACTACCCTTAAACCGATCATTCGGTCTATCTACAAACAGTCATTTCCCTTGAATAACATCATCAGTAGAGTGTGGCTAATGGAATCAAATGGACACCTTCAGCCAACAGCTAATGGCTTCAGCGTAGAATGTAGAGTTCTGACTATTAAAGAAAGATACTGCCAGGGGATTGGAAATGCCCTGGAAAATCTCCTAGACATACAGTACCGCCACATTTATGCTTTCCTTAACAGGTTAACAATAATAACAAGTGTAATTCTTTTACAACTGCATTTCCAGGACGAAAGGCGTGAGGAACTGTGCAACCGCTATTCAGCAAATGAGTTGGCCCCATTTCACTGTTCGATGAGCATAACTAAAGAAGGCAACATGAGAAGAAAGGTTACGTCTGTTGAGAGTTCACCGAATCTTCATTTTGCTAAACATTTAAACTGAAAAGAAAAAGGCATGGTTGATGTTTGAATCCTGCTGTCCCCTGCTCCTTTGGTGTAAAAACAATTCTTCGATCCAGCTATGAGAAACCAGGTTAGGACCAAACAACAACAAATAGGAAAATAAAGGCATGTACTAACGTTACGCTTTTATCTAGGATGCTGGACAAGTTTTGGTTCAGGAGCATGAGGTTTTGTCCATGTGAGACTGCTGATAAAAACACTAGTCCATCTTCTTGTTGCGTAGACGTAGACGTGCTATATCCAGTAAATCCCGGCATGTGGGAGCAGTGTGTTGCGAGAGGATGGTCAGAGCCTTGCCGTGCAGTAAAGTCAAGGCTGTCTGGTGGCCCGTTGCCCACACTCGATACCAGGGTCCATAAAACGGGTCAGAGACAGCAGGACACAGCATGTTGTTCAAATTCACTTCGGTCAACTAGTGGGAAGCAAAATACAAGATTGAGTTAGTATAGGGACACAATAACTAAACATGCATATCCAAAACATATGAAAAAAAAACAAAAAAAACCCAGAATTTGCTCAATTTCTTGCTTCATTTTACGAAACTACCAGGATGCAATTAATAGTTGCATTTTCAACACTGCCACAAGGGGTGCTATAGGCCTTCATCACACTCCAACACTTGAAAAACATAACCTGATACAGGCTAGAGCAGAAGTTATATTATCAAGTAAGGCTAAATATTTTGAAATGGTAAATTTAAGTGCATTTTTTTTGGTCAAATTTAGCCACCGTCCATTGACAATAACGCAGGTGGAAATTTATCACGCTACTAAACGGAGCCCGATGTGATGAGATGCAGATTGTTATAAAGCAGCCATTAGTGAAACGCTTTTAACATTGTCTATTAACACAGTGACCAACCGGAACAGAACAAGAACTGTTTTGTTCTCCCTCAATCTTTTCAACAAGTGTGAATGATCGTACATTTCTTAGGAGTCCCAGGAATAGAAAAGTTGTGCAACAAAAGGAAGGACAGATCTTCACAGATGGCAACACAAAATGGAAATCCTCTCCATTTCCACTAGCAGATCTGTATTCACTTAATGAGTGCTGTTTGGGACACAACAAGGTATACATGAATGCACAGGTGAAAGTTTAACATTACACAATCCTGTGGTGTTCAGTACAATGCCTAGGTGAATCTGGAATTGGTTTGAAAAGTGAATTATGTTGTTGTATGAATTATTAGGTTCTAACTGTGAACGTTAAACTATGCAAATAATGATCACGCCGATTTCCAAATCCCTCCTGCTCAAGAAGAATTGAACTATTCACTGAGACACAGAAAAAGGGTTTCTGTGCAGTTGCAATGTTGCAAGTTTAAAGGTGCTCTATGTATTTTTTAGCGGCCTCTAGCGGTGATGTTTCAGATTGCAACAAGAGGGCTCGTGCTCGTGTGCGTGCTCGATCTCAAGAGCGAGCATTCACTACCGGCCACACGGAGACTTTCAACGCAACGGCGAAAGCATCACACAACATGCTGGAAACTCATGTAAACGCCCACTGCAACGTTACAATAATAGGCTACTTTTATCAGCTTGACGTTGAACTAATGCTCCATGCTCGTACCATGATAACGTTACATTGACTGCATTTAGCCGGCATGTGGTGTTAGCATAAGGCATTTCACTAACTATTCGTGTATCTTTCACAATCAGCAATGTCAACATAGGTGAATGTATAATATGATAATGAAAACGGTGAACTAGACTGAACAATGTCAGTGTAACAGTAAGACACAATATGATAGTAGTGGGATGAGTAGGCTAACGTTAGACAGTAGATCTAGTACATAAAATAAGTTACATCCTAAAGCACCTACTTTTTGTTATCCTGGAACAGTCTTTTGTATTAATTTCATGTCTCATGTAGTTTACCTTGCTATTTCATTAGAGTTTACTAATAATTCAAAAGCTCTGCCGATGTTGATCCGTGTTTTCGTCCTGAGTCGATCAGAATCACGTTTGGCCTGACGAGCATCAGCAGATAAAACTTTTTTTTGTTTTTTATATTTATGTGGTGTTTGTGTTGGAGTGTGTGTTGTGCTGGAGGCAGGTCGTTTTTTGGTGTTATCAGACTCCATGTCATCAGCTGCAGTGCCGTCACATAGACTGTATATAAAAAGGAGAGAGGCTCGGGAGCGCGCATGCACGTCACATCCGATGGATTTCGCAGTAAATACGACCCGGAGACTTCACATATAAATATGAATATTGGCCTTCAGAGGTAATAGCAAAACCCGACAAGTGGATCATTGTAATGTGTGATTACAACCCCTTCACACACAGGCAATTAAAAAAAGGATTCATTTTAGAAGAAAAGCTACATAGAGCACCTTTAAATCTAAGCAGAGAATAAAAGGAAGTTCTGCAAGAAGGGAATTTTTGGAGAGCACAGAAAAAGCAACAGCAACAACGACCAAGCATGTGCCTCCAATTTTCAAGACCTTCTCCACCAACTTCTGAGACTGCTTTTCAGATTATCCAGAGAACATTCACCTTCAAGGCTTCTTTTCTCTGCATGTTAAAGACAAGAAGCTTGTCTGTGCTTCAGCAAGTTCAGCGTTTATTGATTAAATGGAGTCCAGCTCCTTTATTTCCATTGCAATGCGACCCAGCACAGCTGGTGGAAGACATCACCGGACTCACTTATCACATGTCCAAGCCGAATGCAAATAACACTTTAATGCCAAGGTCTCTGGAAAGAGGTTTGGTATTAATTTCGTACCACCTGTGAGACACACTAAATTCTGGAGCCTGTTGTGAGAAACTGCTGAATGAATGGTGCTGAGCAGACCACAAACCCTTAGCAAATATATATATATATACACATATATTTGTTAAATATGATACATACATGTAGAGTGTTACTGGTCTATATATATATATATATATACATACTGGTCTACATGTAGATACATATGTATATGTATCTACATGTATGCATCATATTTGTTACATGCCTTATATACACTCACCTAAAGGATTATTAGGAACACCTGTTTAATTTCTCATTAATGCAATTATCTAATCAAACAATCACATGGCAGTTGCTTCAATGCATTTAGGGGTGTGGTCCTGGTCAAGACAATCTCCTGAACTCCAAACTGAATGTCAGAATGGGAAAGAAAGGTGATTTAAGCAATTTTGAGCGTGGCATGGTTGTTGGTGCCAGACGGGCCGGTCTGAGTATTTCACAATCTGCTCAGTTACTGGGATTTTCACGCACAACCATTTCTAGGGTTTACAAAGAATGGTGTGAAAAGGGAAAAACATCCAGTATGCGGCAGTCCTGTGGGCGAAAATGCCTTGTTGATGCTAGAGGTCAGAGGAGAATGGGCCGACTGATTCAAGCTGATAGAAGAGCAACTTTGACTGAAATAACCACTCGTTACAACCGAGGTATGCAGCAAAGCATTTGTGAAGCCACAACACGCACAACCTTGAGGCGGATGGGCTACAACAGCAGAAGACCCCACCGGGTACCACTCATCTCCACTACAAATAGGAAAAAGAGGCTACAATTTGCAAGAGCTCACCAAAATTGGACAGTTGAAGACTGGAAAAATGTTGCTTGGTCTGATGAGTCTCGATTTCTGTTGAGACATTCAGATGGTAGAGTCAGAATTTGGTGTAAACAGAATGCGAACATGGATCCATCATGCCTTGTTACCACTATGCAGGCTGGTGGTGGTGGTGTAATGGTGTGGGGGATGTTTTCTTGGCACACTTTAGGCCCCTTGGTGCCAATTGGGCATTGTTTAAATGCCACGGCCTACCTGAGCATTGTTTCTGACCATGTCCATCCCTTTATGTCCACTATGTACCCATCTTCTGATGGCTACTTCCAGCAGGATAATGCACCATGTCACAAAGCTCGAATCCTTTCAAATTGGTTTCTTGAACATGACAATGAGTTCACTGCACTAAAATGGCCCCCACAGTCACCAGATCTCAACCCAATAGAGCATCTTTGGGATGTGGTGGAACGGGAGCTTCGTGCCCTGGATGTGCATCCCACAAATCTCCATCAACTGCAAGATGCTATCCTATCAATATGGGCCAACATTTCTAAAGAATGCTTTCAGCACCTTGTTGAATCAATGCCACGTAGAATTAAGGCAGTTCTGAAGGCGAAAGGGGGTCAAACACAGTATTAGTATGGTGTTCCTAATAATCCTTTAGGTGAGTGTATGTATATATATATATATATATATATATATATATATATATATATATATATATAGCAATGAACTATCATTCTTTATCTTAATTCTTAAGATAATTATTTATCTTGAAATGTGAATCTGTAAGAATCTGTCACGTGATCCTTCAGAAATCCTTCTAATATGCTGATTAGGTGCTCAATAAACATTTATTACTATCAATGTTGAAAACTGTTTTTTGCTGCTTAATACTTTTGTTTGGGGTAAGATTTAAAAAGAAAGAAAGAAAGAAAGAAAATAATTAAACCCTTTTGTTCAGCATGGATGCATTAAATTGATTAAAAGAGACAAATAGCAAAACCATTTTTTAACATTGATAATAATAAAAAAAACAATAATGATTGAGCGCTAATTATATTTTATAACTAAGCACCAAATCAGCATTTCAGATAGCCTGGCATGCCAGACCTACATCAAGATGTTAGGTCTGGGAACTCTCCATTGACATGCCTCAATCCGAGGGGCGGGATAAACGGTTACCTTTCAAAATCCCTCTGCACACAATAGGATAACGCTACAACCAACCAGAGCAACGAACGGTTGTGGATGAGTGAGTCCCATGCGTTTTTCCACCAGCGGAGCTAATTGATATATTAAACTTTTGCCGTATCAGGTCGGCAAAACTACGAACACATCTTCCTTTTTTAAGAATGACTTAAGTGACGTTCTCTTAACTCCAAGTCCTCCAGAGTCGCGCCCAAAGCCGATTCGAAAGACCGTTGCATCTTCATTGTTTTCAAGTAGCAGGGAAATCACCTATGGAAATCACGCGGAACGTCATGAACTGTGCCGTCATTGTGTTAAGCCCGCCCGCCGACTCTATACACGATGTGATTGGCCTGACCAGTTTTTGGTTTTTCCAGCTCAAAAGCCTATGGAGAGTTGCTAGACCACACTGGCGGCGAAATAATTTTCGCTGCCGCTAGGGTGCGTCTAGATTTCTAGGCTACATTTCAGAATGATTTCTGAAGGAATAGCTAGTTATTTTAAATTGTCACAATATTTTTTTTAATAACTCAAAACTTTTGACTGGTAGTGTAATGGTGACAGCACATTTTCTGTGTCCAAATAATCAAGCAGCTTTGAGTGCGACCATAGAAACTCAACAACATGTGTTCTCTGTGGAGTGGGCAACTGTCACCAGGAACAGCCATAGAAATATTTCAGGACATTTTCAGCTTATACTGGAAGTCATTAGCTGATAGTTGATCACCTTGCTTGCTGTGCAAGATACTTTAATGAAGGCTATATTCTATACTAACATACTGTACTAGTTACTATTGTCACATATATAGTATGTATGTAAATTATGCAAATTGTCTATGTTTATTAAAATGAACATCAGAGCATACTGAATTGAATATTGTGTCCCACAATGCATCTGACTTGATATTCCACTTGAAGTGATGAATTGACATGTTATTTGATTAGACTGCCAGAAGTTGACGTTAAGCATTAAAAATGCTAAATAACACACTTGCTGAATTAAACACATAATGTGATGAGGTCGTGTGACAATGTTGTGGAAAAATGTCAGCTGTTTCACTTACTTGAAAAGTGTGTCTATGTAAGGCAAGTATTCAGTAAATAGTAAGATAGTATTCCATATTTGACATAATCTACCATACAACTCTTTGTATTTCTGAAACAGTAAGAGTAGTATGCTATTCTGGATTCTGCAATAGTGATTGATTGTCGTACCATTCCAAGGCCCTGGAGGAATACAAAGTGGTAGAGGAAGAGGATTCCTGAGGACAGCAGCGCCCACCACATGTCACCCAGCGGCTCTGGCTTATACACACCTGAAAAACAAGACACATGACAGACGTTAAAATGCATGTAAAGTCCAGGGGCCGGTTGCACCAGCTGTACACAAGTTACAACTTAGCTTAGTTTTGTTTTATTTTGAAGTGAAAAGTTAAAGTGAGGTTCATTCCTCGATAGAATTGGGCAAGAAGGCCCACAGTGACATGTTTTCATCATTATATTTAATAATTATTAAAATTCAGGGAATTATTATATACTATTTCCATAAATTACAAATGTATCTCATATCTTATTCATCATAACCTACAGTCCAACTAAGGAGAATCATTCAATCAGAATAGTCTACTACTATTATGATATCCTATCAACTAAAAACATAGGCTTGTAGCCTATATAATGTAATTCAGAAGAAAGATTGTGTTATTTGATATATTTGTCATTATTCAACTAAATATTTAATGTAATACTTTTAATTAAGGATACCCTTTCCTCCCCAAAAAATAATTGTACATTATCAATCCTTCTTTCACACAAAGCATTGATATCCCAGAAACTGTGGAGCTGTAGTTGTCCTGTCTGAACATTAGGAGACACTACAGGTTTGCCTATTTCTCTCTGAGCATCATTGCTTCACTCATGTGTCTTTTACTCTGGGCAGATGAAGTGCCATTCTGACATCAACATTTCAAAATGGTCATATCAGTTGAATTTACATTTATTCATTTAGCAGACACTTTTATAAAAAAATTTTTTTTTAAAAACCTTAAAGAGGCAATAAACACGAGAAACGCTAGTAATACAACGTTGTAGCCATCGTTCAGGATAGTACAAGCTAGAATAAGGGAGGGATTAAGGCATAGACAAAGGAATAGTGAAAGAGGTAGTAAAATAGAACAGTTTTTTTTAGGAGGCTCCAGTTTTGTCACGGGAGAGACGAGTTTTCAGCTGTTTCTTCAAAACTGTGGCGGAGATCTGCAGGTGGTAGAGCTCTATAAATAACGTGCTACTGATTTCAATAGTATTTACATCGCTCATTTTTCACCTGAAAAGCACCGACAGGGAAGCTAAAATGACATTGTGGTGCACATGTGGACAATGGAAGATATAATCATGTGGGGTAAAAGGGTCCAGGGGTGTATTCCAGAAAGCAAGGTTATTTTACCGTCAAACATACCATGAACTCTCGATTGATTAAACCAAACCTTGCTTACTCGAGGTACAGTATGCTGGTTCCAAAAACACACCCGGGAGTAAGTTCATCCAACTCAGAATATGTTCATGATTAACACACCAGACATTCTCAACAAAGCGATGAATCACCATGGAAACGGACGCTAAGAAAAGGTTTGATGCTAATTATATAATAAAAAGAAAGACTGATTAAACTAAATACAGTCTGTGCTTGCAAAGATAAAATGGCTGTATACGTTTATTTTATGTTTAGTAATTTTGCTTCCACATTGCTTCATACATATATCAGATCATATCATTTATGTATTTTATTATAGAAATACATTTTAGCATAGAAAAATTAAATAAAATAAAAAACATCTGAATGCAGATAAACGATGTGTGAGATGAGATTTATATAGCTATATATTACAATACAATTACAATAAACATTACCTTGTTTAAATAGCACTTTATATATTAATATAACTATATATATAATATTGTGCACAATCTGTCACGCCCACTGGAGCTTCATCAATATGCATGTGCTGAACACCTAAACTAACCCTGGACACCTCTGAAGTAAACTAACCCTGGAACATGAGCTGTTTCGGAGCAGGTAAGTAAGTATGTTTCAGAGAGTAAGTTGCTATGTATTACTTACATACTCTGAAAGCTACCTCCATTTTTTGGAACCAAAAGTTGAGGTTATCCGATTACTTTCCCTTAGACACACACACAGGTAAGTCACATAACCTGCTTTCTGGAATACCCCCCAGGACTAACTGTTCGACCAAACTTCAGAAACTCACCTCCTTTTCTGAAGAGGTAGACAGGCACAAGATACAGCATGGAGTGTTGAATATAATAGATCTCCTTTTCAAATGGAAGCTGTGATGAAAAAAAAAAAAAAAATGTTTAGATAATAAAAACATACAGAGAGCCTTGCATTCTAGTCTTATTTGGTGTCAGCATGTTTTACTATAACTACTGTATATCCTTATGCAATAAGCATCTAAACAACCAGCTAAACCATTAAAAATATAGTATCGATGTCAGTGATGACGGGCTCGAGCACTATGGTGCCATTGCCACCTGGCGGCTCTAGGAAAACAATAAAAGTCAAAGTCAGGTAAAAAAAAAAAAAAAACACTTCCTGCTACCATTTGGTAGTACTATGACCTTAGCCTACAATAACCATAAACATGTAATCAGCCCCCATCAACATACAGCACCAATTTAACCTACTGTATGTAGGTAGTAAACCAAAATAACCATCACCACCTCCACAAGACAGTGGCATTAAATACACACAATTCCATCTCTCTGACTACTGTCACAGTGAAATATTACAGTGATGGAAGTGCGCTTATTTTTTACTGTACAGTGCCCAAAATATCTGAAGAACTTGATGTGAGGATAGAAACTATGATTCACTGTTCGCTTGTTGGCCAGAGGAGAACTGGACCCCGACTGAGTCTGGGTTCTCCCAAGGTTTTTTTATTCTCCATTCTGTCACATGATGGAGTTTTGGTTCCTTGCCACTGTCGCCTTGGCTTTTGGCTTGCTTAGTTGGGGACATTTAATCTTCAACTATATTATTGATCCTGGGGGTGATGGGTGGCCCGCGGGTCCTCCCCTCTGTCGGCTCGTCGCAGTTTTACTGCGGGGGCTGGGTGGAACGGTGACCATCAATGGGTGCCCAGGCTGGCAATTAGTCAGGCAATCAGCTATTCCTACTATTACACTTATCTTTAATAGAATAATTACAACTCCTCTCCTCTGAATCACTCCCTCTCAGTGTTCCAGCTTCTCTCCGCCCGGCCCAACAGCAAGCCAGCTTTACTCATATGCACACACATACACACATACATCCTCACATACTCACTACCCCTCACCCCTCACCCCCACCCCCATCCCAACACCACCTCATTCAAATCATCCTTAGCCTTTCTGAGATCTATGTTGTGTTATGTGTGTCGAAGCCACGTCATTGTGATATCTTGTTAAGTTACAGTATGTGTTTGTGTAATGTACATCTGTCTGTTATATGTAGTATTCTTGTGCATGCCGTAGGGTTGCATTTTCTGTAATGTCAATGGTGTTTAATAAAAAAATAAAAATAAATAAAAACTATATTATTGATCTGCCTTTATTCTAGAAACAAACTTTGTTGTTTTATTTTCATGTTATGAAGCTGCTTTGATACAATCTGTATTGTAAAAAGCGCTATATAAATAAAGGTGACTTGACTTGACTATGAATAAAGACTCTAGATAGTGTTGGACCCCTCTGTTTGAAAGAGAAACCCCCACACATTGGTACAAATTCAGACTCATGCTCTTAAGAAAGCAGGTGGAAGATTACAAATTAAGAGGTATTTCAAGGGGCATTTTTCCAGCTACAGAAAGGCCCGGAAAACGGCGAGATCTTCATATTTGAATGCTCATAAAAAATGACACAAACAATCTCAGGAATTTCTCCTCACAGCACAGTAGTGTAATACCTTAATGCACTTCTTCAACAATAAAATTAAGACAAGCAGAAAGAATTTTAGCATCTCTGGAAATTTTGTCTCATAGTAGAGCCCGACCGATATGGAGTTACTGATATTATTTGTGTATATTATAATACAGTAGCAATATTATTTATGTCTATATTATAGTACAGAACCAGTCAAAAGTTTGGACACACTCTCCCATTCGTGTGTACAAACTTTTGACTGGTACTGTATATAGAATACAGTATACATAAACAGAATATATATATATATTGTCAGTGGAGTGGAAGCTAATGTGTGCGCCCATCTTACACCGTGTCTTAAGCTCGCCCGATAGTGGATAGTGGCTCTACTTCTACTATCATTACTGAAGTGAAAGGGTTTGCTGGTGTACAGTAAGCTGGGTCGCCAGTAGCAAACAATGGAGGGTAAAACTAACCTGTCTCACGACGGTCTAAACCCAGCTCACGTTCCCTATTAGTGGGTGAACAATCCAACGCTTGGTGAATTCTGCTTCACAATGATATGAAGAGCCGACATCGAAGGATCAAAAAGTTTGTTGGACAAACTACGTAGTTACACAATTTACAAGCATTTTATCCGCGTTATATGTTCTGCAAAAAAAAAGTTTATATCGGCGGCATATCTGCGTCATATACGCCGATACCGATATATCTGCGACAGGCTCATATCAGCCGATAATATCGGCAGACCGTTATATCGGTCGGGCTCTATCTCATAGTATCTCCAGCGAACAGCTTCAGTCATTTGATGCTATAGGACAGGAAGAGTGAACAAAACTTATTAAACGTATCCTGTAACCTATATCCACTAAGCTACTGAAAGAGTTGTTACCTGTAATCTCAGAATATCGTCTGAACATTATTAACCCTTCCCTTTCTTTAGGGCATGTCCCAAAAACTTTCAAGCTGGCAGTAATCAAACCCTTATCAAGAAGCCCCAGCTTGACCCAGGAGAACAGATCATCTCAAATCTCCCGTTTATGTCTAAAATGTTAGAAAAAGTAGGGTAACGCTTCCTTTTACAGTACAGTACTTAAGTGTACTTACAGTGTACTTACCTAGAAAGTACTGGCTAATATAAGGTAAGTACATGGGTTAGGGGTAGGTTCAGGGTTAGTACCTAGTTATTACCCAGTAATTGTAATTACTATAATAAGTACATAGTAAGTACAGGACTGTAAAAGGAAGCGTTACCAAAAGTAGTGTCCTCCCTATTCCGTTTGTTTCTGCCACATAAAATATAATAAACATCCAAAACAGACACAAAAGCTAAAAAATTCAGTTTATCTACTGCTCTTCAGGATGGATCTCCCCTCCATCATTAAAAACATTAGAATCCTGAAAAGAATACTAGCCACAAAACAAATACTGGGTTCTATGTGATGTGGAATATAAACATATTATGCTCATTGACTGTCTCTGTTGTCCATCCTTGTTATTGAACATGACAACATTAAGCATGCCTACAAATTAACTTGTGCATGTGCATTAAAACCAAACGGCAATTGCAAAAGCCAATATGGCGCATACGTTTTAACGACATACCTTACATTGCCAGTTGGCAGATTGCACATGCGCACTAAAACATACGTTACGTCACTACACAACGTCATCGTGCTACAGTCTACAGTGAGGAATACTTGACAATTGAAGTGTTTTCAACCACTACTATAGTGTAATTTTAATCAAGTAACTTGGTAACTTTAGTTTATTTACATTATTATAATGAATATACTCACCAGTCTAGTGTTGACTACTGGAAAGAGAAGAGCTAGAAGGGCTCCATTCAGCATGTGGACCTGAAGTCTTCAAAACAGAAAAGATTGTTAAAAATCACAGTAGAAAGCTCACAGCAACACTATATCTACATCAACACTACAGGATCACACAGTTCTAAATATCAACCAAACAAGGAAAAACAGTGACATAAACTGACAAAGAAATATCATTAAACTGACAATATCAGAAATGTCATTCAAAACCTGAGGCTATGATAGGCCAGAAGCAATTGCAACACGAAAATGACTTCATCACAAACAAACCTGTTTATATACTTTGACATACAGGTCCTTCTCAAAAAATTAGCATATTGTGATAAAGTTCATTATTTTCCATAATGTAATGATACAAATTAAACTTTCATATATTTTAGATTCATTGCACACCAACTGAAATATTTCAGGTCTTTTATTGTTTTAATACTGATGATTTTGGCATACAGCTCATGAAAACCCAAAATTCCTGTCTCAAAAAATTAGCATATCATGAAAAGGGTCTCTAAACGAGCTATTAAACGAGCTATTAACCTAATCATCTGAATCAACTAATTAACTCTAAACAACTGCAAAAGATTCCTGAGGCTTTTAAAAACTCCCAGCCTGTTTCATTACTCAAAACCGCAATCATGGGTAAGACTGCCAACCTGACTGCTGTCCAGAAGGCCATCATTGACACCCTCAAGCAAGAGGGTAAGACAGAAAGAAATTTCTGAACAAATAGGCTGTTCCCAGAGTGCTGTATCAAGGCACCTCACTGGGAAGTCTGTGGGAAGGAAAAAGTGTGGCAAAAAACGCTGCACAACGAGAAGAGGTGACCGGACCCTGAGGAAGATTGTGGAGAAGGACCGATTCCAGACCTTGGGGGACCTGCGGAAGTAATGGACTGAGTCTGGAGTAGAAACATCCAGAGCCACCGTGCACAGGCGTGTGCAGGAAATGGGCTGCAGGTGCCGCATTCCCCAGGTCAAGGCACTTTTGAACCAGAAACAGCGGCAGAAGCGCCTGACCTGGGCTACAGAGAAGCAGCACTGGACTGTTGCTCAGTTTTGCATGTCATTCGGAAATCAAGGTGCCAGAGTCTGGAGGAAGACTGGGGAGAAGGAAATGCCAAAATGCCTGAAGTCCAGTGTCAGGTACCCACAGTCAGTGATGGTCTGGGGTGCCATGTCAGCTTCTGGTGTTGGTGTACTGTGTTTTATCAAGGGCAGGGTCAACAGGGTTCCTGCACACTTTTTAAAGTCAAATTTAAGGCTTTTTAAGACCTTTTTAAGACCTGAAGAAATCAAAATTAATACCGTACATTAGGGGTGTCCAATATTGCCAAAAATATATCTCGATATTTTAAACGTTTTGTTGATAATAATTAGATGATATTTTACTGATTGTGTTTTTGTGCTGGTGCATTGGCTGGTTTAGGCCTGTTGTTGACAGCAGACTCACAAAGATATTCATATTTTTCATATTCTATGCAGTGGTCAGTTCACAGTAGTGACAGAAATGATTAATTAATGTGCAATATTTGCCACCTTAAATTGATTTCCTGGGGCATTTCCACCTATATATGGAAATTTTTTCTAAACTTATTTAGAGTTATGCATCACCTTTTATGTCAAATAGCCTACTAACATTCAAATTAAATTGTACAGTAATTATACTTATTTATACAATAATACTTAATTACACAATAATTATACAGTACCACCGTTACCAGTCAAATTAAATAATTCAATCAAAATCCATCTTTGCAGTGCAGAGGTGACACAGAAGTGGCATCAGAAGTGGCATTAATATTTACACTCCATTTTCAATTGCATAAATGAAGCTATGAGATACATTTTTTTTAATCAATATTCAATATTTAAATATGAAATGATTTCTAATTTTAACATTTTAATTGAAGGGTACTTTAAATATAAAACCGCCAGTAGGCGGCAGCAAGTCTGTCTTAATACCGTAAGCGAGTTGAGGGATTCATTCATTCAACCGATTTGTTCAAACGGCTGATTCATTCGGGAAAGAAACAAGTGATTGTTCATTGAATCGTTAAAATGACTCGTTCAAAACGTGGATTTCAGTCAAGAAATCTTCGCTGTCTGTTGCATTGAGACTCTGCTACGGTTTCATTATGAAATTCTAGTCGGCGAAATAAAGGGAAAACAAACAATATTGACAATATGGTGTCTAAAAAGTAACTCACATGTTAATTTATTTTTAATTTAACCAACATAGATATATTACACGTGTGCACGGGAAAACGGCACTCTTACTGATGTGATATTCTAACATAAGAACAGAATATGATATAAATATAAGACAAAAACTAATTTGGGGACATAGGCCTACCTATAGCCTAACTGCACTGACACATCACGCAGTGAAAGCACGAGAGACAAATGCGATGTCAGCTCACAGTGCCTCATACATCGTTAAAACAATGATTACAATATCATTATAGACAATACACATCGCACACCCCTAAGGACATAAAGAATGAACTTACGACTGAACTGACATTTGCCAACTTTCTTCTTCTCTCCTCTCTCGCGTGCAGGAGACAGACGTTATTCTGCCGCGAATGTGATGCGAATTGTCACGTGAACAAGCAAATCCACAAAGATAGAATAATAAAAAATAATACTACGCTAATTAGATAGTTTTAATTTGGAAAACATTTAGATATGTCTAAGTCGAAGTGTTATCTAAAATTTAAGACCTTTCATAAGTAAAAATAAGACTTTATAAGACTTTTTATGGCCTTATATTTTAAAAATCTAATTTAAGACTTTTTAAGACTTTAAGGATCCGCGGGAACCCTGGTCAATGCAGCTAGCTATCAGGAGATTTTGGAGCACTTCATGCTTCCATCTGCTGAAAAGCTTTATGGAGATGAAGATTTCATTTTTCAGCACGACCTGGCACCTGCTCACAGTGCCAAAACCACTGGTAAATGGTTTACTGACCATGGTATTACTGTGCTCAATTGGCCTGCCAGCTCTCCTGACCTGAACCCCATAGAGAATCTGTGGGATATTGTGAAGAGAAAGTTGAGAGACGCAAGACCCAACACTCTGGATGAGCTTAAGGCCGCTATCGAAGCATCCTGGGCCTCCATAACACCTCAGCAGTGCCACAGGCTGATTGCCTCCATGCCACGCCGCATTGAAGCAGTCATTTCTGCAAAAGGATTCCCGACCAAGTATTGACTATTGAGTGCATAACTGAACATAATTATTTGAAGGTTGACTTTTTTTTTTGTATTAAAAACACTTATTTTATTGGTCGGATGAAATATGCTAATTTTTTGAGACAGGAATTTTGGGTTTTCATGAGTTGTATGCCAAAATCATCCGTGTTAAAACAATAAAAGACCTGAAATATTTCAGTTGGTGTGCAATGAATCTAAAATATATGAAAGTTAAATTTGTATCATTACATTATGGAAAATAATGAACTTTATCACAATATGCTATTTTTTTGAGAAGGGCCTGTACATATGGCTTGCCATTGCCTGCAGTTATGCTGCCTTGAAGCAGCAAAATATGTGGCATGCATAGAGAAGGCAATCCCGCAATACTCAAAAAATAAGTTGTAAATAATAAAAAATACAAAAAGATATTCTAGATAGATATAGATAGATAGATAGATACTCTGCTTTGCCAGAAGGTTAACAGCAGTGACAGTATGCACTTTTGCCAAGGAACTTATTGTGTCAAGGGGGAGTGGTTTAGCGATCTCTGCAGACTAGCCTATCTCGCAAGATGACGATTTCAACAGGGGAGAACTCGGAAGTCTAGAACCAGAAAGAAAGATTCCTGATTTTAGACATACGTGACAAATAACAAATACATTATATCTTGACTACGGGTTTGAAAACCTCAGGAACCTAAGGAAACTAAACTGTTTTCTGAGGTTCATCATAATGAACTGTGTCTACTCGGGCGATAACTTCAAAAAGAAAGAGAAACATGGCACTTTAAAAAAAACCCAAATAGGCCCATTTTATTCAAGACACTAGGGGTGTAACGGTACACAAAAATCACGGTTCGGTACGTACCTCGGTTTTAAAGTCACGGTTCGGTACGTTTTCGATACAGCAAAAAGTAAGAAATGCCAGAGAAATTTCCTATTTGTTAAAAGAAAAAATATTTTTTAAATAAGTGAGTTTTCCTACATCTTGAAACTTTCAGGTTTATAAATGGGGGTCGTCTTTGAAGGATGAACAAATAATGTTTTGGTCATCACATTAAAAATAACATTTAAATATATGAAGAGTTTAGATGCAAAAGCTATTTGAAATTTTCTTAGAATGATCATTTTTATCAAGCTTGTATATTTAAGTTCAGTAATTTCACTTAAATGGCAATGAAGATTGCCTATTAATTGTCATTTGAGTGAAATTACTGAACTTAAATGTACAAGCTTCATAAAAATGATCATTCTAATTTCTAGAAGAAAATTTCAAATGGCACTTATAGAGGCTTTTGCATCTGAACTCTTCATATAGGCTATTTATTTATATAATATTTGAGTTTTGAAGTGCTGGAAAAAGATGTGTGAAGTAGGCTACTTGAAAGCATTTCACTATTCCAGCCAAACTGGTTACAGTTAGTGTTGTTACTATATTAAATCCATGGTGAATGTTGCTGGTCTGTGGACTTGTATTACTAGTTCATTCACGGCACAATGTTTCTCCTGGTGTCCACGTCAGCGCTGTTTGATCTAATAGAGATCTACGGTTAATAGCTTCGAATGCTTCTCACTAGATCTCGCAGCGATGTTATTACTTCAGTGGCGAACTCAAATGTTTTCTTTACTGGATCTCTTAGCGCTGTGTTGTAACGGTTGTAACAGTGTCGCTTGATCGAGATCGGCTCCCGCTGCACAGATGTTGCTGCTCCGAACTGATAAACGATCCGTGAAGCACAATAGCGCAGTTTCGTTCCGGTTTCATTACGCTTGCCATTTGATGTTGCGCAACGTTGTGGTGATCGCGGCAGTGCGAATTTTGTCGGCAGGAAAAATGGTCCA